CAATTACCTCTTTTTGTAATCTGCTGGTTCTTATCACAAACTTATCTATGGTTGTTTCTGGATGATGGAGATTTTTTTTTTCTTTTTGCTACAGGTGATATACTGTGGCTATGTGACATACATGATGTGACTGAAACACTATCATTGGCAGATAACTCTGAAACTATAGAAAATGATGGTGATCTTGAAGGTGGATAGTCTTCAGAATCCTATATGTTGAGGATGGATTCTCCTAAACAAAATAAGTCAATGCAGTTATTTAATTATTATTACCATATTGCTCATTTAGTATTACTCATTGCATTCACTGACACTCAGTACTACTTTAGAGGTGAAATTGTAAAAGGAAGATCTGCCTATTTCAGCTATTTATTTTTTATCACAACTGCATCTAAAATGATAGTACCATAGAATAATAACTATATTTTTTGCTCAAACATGAGAATTCAAGAATAGTCCAGAAGGAAGACAGGCAGTCCTTAAGAAAGAAGTATGAAATAAAAAAGTTTACCAACCTGAAGATCCTGCATGTTCAGACATGTTCCTTTCATCATCTTCAACGCAGCTTCCTCCTGAGAAGGAACACTTCTCATGATGTTTTTTCATTTGGGCAACCAGGCCTTGCATTTCTTTGTTGCACTGTTTGCATTTTGCACGCATTCCTGTCTTACCCACAGGTAGAGGAACTTCATTAAAATATTCCCAAATTGGGTCTCTCTTACGGCCTGCTACCATTATAGGTTTTCCCTTGTAGTGAGAGAATGTTATGGTAGATCTCAAATCAATGAAGGCTACACTCAGAAAGACCTCAAGACTTCTGGAATATGTTTTCAAACAGTTTCACTTTTGTTTCTACTGCCTGTCCCTTCCTTCTCACATTTATCTCCAGACTTCTTCTCCTTGTCCAGATCTATTACGCACCCAACAATCTTCTATTCATTGAACTTTTTGAAACTTTGCACTTTTAGAGAGAGGTAAGGGATTGACTCTGTGTACACAAATTTGCAGAGAGACAATAGGGTTGAGGTCTGTTATTTCTCACCTCTATATATTATTTATTTATTTAAAAACATTTTTGTTGTTAACAAGCATGTTATCTCTGAAGACACAAATTCACAATTTGAGAACTGCAAAACTAAGCATCTCTGATCATATCTTCTAGACTGAGCACTGAGTCTCATTCAGTAGATAGCAAGATTAACCTAAATAATCTATACAGAAGCCCCTGGAACACCGTAAGATTGGGTCCCTAATCCATGAACTATTGGAACTCATTTACAAAACTTTTCTTAAACATTACATGAATATATTGTCTCATACTATAGAATTAGAATTTATAATCCCTATTCCATGATGAGATACATAATAGCACAAAGATATCTTAATTAAAACTATCTTTAGATTTTTTTCCTCAAAAACCATTTTTTAAAAAATCATTGATTTTTATTCACCCTGCTTCCAAAGTAGATAGGACCTGAATGTCTAATGTAAAAAAAGTGAAACACTTTTTGACAAACATCTTTTAGACAATCCTAAAGAACCAAAAAATTATACAAGTCAGTTATTTCCCTCGTTGCAAGTCATCTTTAGTGACTCCACTTTTTACAGTGAACTGAAAGTTCTTTCCCCATCTTTTAAGGTGAAAAACTCATGCATATAGGGAGTGCAGTGCCTTAGACAGTGAAAATTTGTTAAATATGTAATCTCATCAGTAGCCCTATTTCATAGAAGCAACTTTTACTGGGCATGGTAGTGTGGCTATTTTTAAGAAGGAAACTATTTAACTTCACCTCATTTTTCTGATTAACCTAGATCTTATTGTGCGAGACAAAAATTAGTTTTTCATCTATGTAATGTTTGAAAATGGAATTATACTGTTAACACTGAGAGTGTTAACTTTATAAGCATTTTATAACAGTTTCTCCTTGAGTCAGAAACTGACCTTTTTCACTCACTGCATGACTGAGCATGTAATGTAATACAGATTAAATGCCCTGAAATAAAACTAAATAGGACTTTCTTCGGGAACCTGCAAGAATATCATGTTGCTATTTTGTTTCCAAAATGCATGAAGTTTCAAAAGTATAATATCTTAAGTCAATGGGAAAGGGGAAGTAAATGAAAAGCTAAAGTATTAAAAACCTACTGAAATCACAACTATGGTCATTTTTTCGCAATATAGAGGTGTTCAAATTCAAAAGCAAATTTAAGAAGTCAAAACATGTATAGTGCTCTAAAGTGGACCCCCCCCCAAGTGGATATACGGTTGGTGCAATGATTAGGGAGACAATATACAAAAACTGGAAATCTGAAACTATTTTTAAATGCAAAAGCAAAATGGTCCTGTATGATTAAATCATGTTGAGCAGTTTCCCAACAGATAACCATATCACTATACTTGATAAGAGTTGTTTTTACAAAAAATGTAGTAATATTATATTGCTGGGTCAGTGGTCTTAGTGCAGAACTGTTTGGAATTCTCCAAGCTGTACATTTAAACCTCAGCAGGCAGCACACATCAGTTACGACTGAAGATTTACAACACCCCCTGTTGCCTGTATTTTTTTTTTCTTCACTGCTGATGTTGGGGGAATTCCTCTGACAACTGTTGCTATTGTAGCAGTAGCTGACTTTAGTCTTTCATATTATTTTTTACATGAATTTACCTCTACCTCCATCACACTAACATGTAATTCTGAACATTATGAAGAGATCCAACCTCAGCATCTCATGGACCTTAAATTTACTTTTATAGCCTCATTTGAGTTTTCTTATAGACACTGGGTTTATACTGTATTTGTTGTTGTTGCTATGTACTGTTCTACTTTCAGAAAAGGTTAGAGAAGTAGTCCAGTGGCTTAAAACATTGCCCTGGATGTAGTCATAAGTATAACCAATGTCCATTACAGATGCACCTGACTATTGCTTGAGATGTCTCTTAGTGAGCCATAGCTTGTTGATTAAGGAATCTATGCTCAGATTCCACTGCAAGCTGCTAGGTCTCAGGGTGAGCAACACAAACTTCTCTTGATTTCATAAAGGCTTCTGCTAAGTAGCTGAGAAGGCCTCAAAGCACAAGTCTGCAAGTACTTCAGTACTTGTAACCCAGATGAGTCTTTGTTTTGGTACCAAAATAGGCTTCAGGGCAGCTCCTCTGGCATTTTTACAAGTGGCCAGCTGCTCCCTCCAGGTTAGTCAGTGGGCACACCAGAGCTTTGGTACGCTTACAGCATTGGTTATACTCCATTCCAAATTTAAATTTGAAGTACCACCTCCCGAGATGGAAGTCTACCTCTGTGAGAGACCGTATATCTCCACTGATAATACCTTTTCTGTCTTTCTTTGCGGAGATCTCTTTCTGGTTACTTTAGCTTCAACAGCATTGGTGGTGTTGGGACAGACCTATGGCTTTGAGCTACAGTTAAGCTCATATAGCCTGAAGAACACATTTCATCACATAGCTTTAGCTTTGTCAGTGACACATGCACCACATTTCATTGCTGGCTGAAACACTGATCTAGAGCCAGCTTTGAACTTTCAGAGCCGTTAGTGTGCCGGGTTAATGATGCCAATACCTACATTTCTCTTTTCAGTGCTCTTGATTTACTTTGAAATACTTCAGTATTTACGCCAATGCCATTGTTACATTGTTTATCCCAATGGTGTCAACGTTTTTGGTGTCAATGTCTTTCACACTATTAGGGTTTACTTAGAAAATGTAGCTTATGTTGTATTTCCATCTATGTTCATGTTTTTCTAGTTCTTCAATTTGGAGTACTTCCTCCAAGTGCTTAAAACATCTAGAAAAAGTCTCCATGTCTTTCTGATATTTAAGACCCAAAGAAGGATGTTTATTTTTCCTCCCTCAGTGCTTTCCTTTGTATTATAGGGGTAATTCAGAAGTGATGGAATTGCTCCCTTTCGCTTTAAGGTTGTCTGTGGTATCTACTGATTGAGAGAACTTGCATCCCAAACTTGACTCTGTTGGCATAGAACTATCATTTGATTGCCAACTGCATTATTCAGATTTCTAAACTGTACCACAATTAGGGTGAAGTTAGTATTTCTGAGACTTAATGAGGGCCTGGTTTCACTTATTTTCTCACAATTTGCATCTCATTTGCATGGCCTCTAGTCTACCTTTATCTGTGTCATTGGTTCCAACATGAGAGGAAACCTTTTTCTTATTCCAAGCCTCTGACCAAAGCTTGTCCAGTCATGAAATGATATCTCCCTACTACCCGTGGGGCAACAAACCATATAAGATTTAGTAATAGTATAACTGCCTTACCCATCTCATTTGTAAGTAATTACCCTTCACTACTGCCACCTTTCCTTCTGTTCTATGATCCCTTAGTTCTATATTTACACTTTATCATCTTCACATTGTCTTAAGACTTTTGGAAAACGGATAACTTTACTATATATACCATTCCTATTATGTTAATTACATTTTTATCTTCTGCTTTTAGAAAACTAAGCTCTTATCTAAATACATTCTTTATATTTTGACTTTATTTGTATAATAAAGCAGCTCATAAAAGGTTGATGTTATACAGTGTTCCTGGATAGTTCTTAGTAATAAAGCCCTTACACTGTTTACCATTATTTCTGGGACTTGCATCAGATTACCCATGTTTACCTATCAATCCCTGCTCTTCCTTCCTCCAGATCCTATAGCAGTACCTGTTATGGTTGATTTATTGAATTATTTTCTGGTAGCACAGCTGTGGTTTCTGCTTTGATTGCCCCAGAGAACAAATGACTAACCTTTGAATTGATAGTCTTTTTAATTAAGTTAATCCAAACAACAGTTCATCACAATTCACTTTACTTGATTTCTTATGTAAAATTTTAGTACTCAGTCAACATTGCGCAGCTATTCACATTGGCATCAGTGTCAGTTCTGTATACAAACTGGGAAAAGTGAGAATGTTTTTGTTTAACTTCTTCTTAAATAACTTTATTTGTAGTTTTTAAAAATGCATCTCATGTTTTAGTTGGAGTATTTTATGATCCAAAGCTTGAATCAGAAGTCCTCTGAAAAAATGAAGAAAAGAAAAAAAAGCCACAAGTGCCATGGAGTTAAACCGCCTCAGCTTGAACAGCCAGGTGCTTATAATAGTAATTAGTTTTTTTCCGTGTAATACTGATCAGATTGATTATTTAAAAACATGTTTAATAAATTATCCATTACTAGCAACTACTGTGATGTGTGATTTTTATCTCAGAATGGATTACTTAATTATTTAGGGAAGTAATTCGTGAATCTTGAGGATTTTATAAAACTATATATATAATATGTGATGGGTGATCATTTAAAATTTGTAGTATGTTTTATAAAAAAAAATCAGGAGTTGTGCTCATTGAAGTGAACTCAGAATATGGAATGTTTAGTGAAATTATGGATGAAGTCTGAGTTTATACAAGCTGCACGTGAAGAGATAAAAGAGAATAGTAGTTACACAAGAAAGTAAAGGGAGATGTTAGAAAGAAGGCGTGAAAAGCTAAAAGGTAGTTTCTTTTTTTAATATAGGTTTCAGCAGTTTAACATCATATTAGGTTTTATAGTTCTTTTGATTAAAATTTGGTAACTTAATTACAAATTTAAATGCATAAGAATGGCCACCCTGGGTCAGACCAGTGGTATAATAACTTGAAGGTGCTTCATGTTAACTCCGCATAATATAACTTGTTCTAGTAAATGCTAAATATTGAACCTAGCCCAGAATCTGGGGCCCAGTCCTGTCCCTAGTTCAAGTCAATGGCAGCGTTCCTATAAATTTAAATGAAAAGAGGACCAGACCACACTGGTTACCTTGTAAAAATGAAGTTACCTTAAATTACTATGATAAACATATTAGAAATTATCACCCATTGCAAAATATATACTCTTATAAAACTTCTCATAATTATATAGCCATTCCTAAATCATTACACACTCAGTTCTGAGATTAAAATCAGAGTAGTACTTGTAATCGATCTGAGCTCCATCTGTGAAGTCAGAGGGGCTGCATGGGGTTTAAGGGAAGAAAGGATTTAGCCTAGAACGTTTAATGGAGTTGTTCTTTAAATAATTTTGCACTGAAACATTTTTTACTGACAATTAACTCTTGCTATGAGTCATTCAGGCTCTGTCTCTAACCTCTCTCTGATTTCTGCAAAGTGTAAGGTGTTGAGACTGCATTTATCTGGTGGGCATGCAAAAAAATTAAATTGTTAAAGTTCTGAGTTAGGAAAGATTGTTTTACCTTACCCATATTATGGGTAAAGTATACACTTATTTATAGGTTTTTTTATGAAGTCCCTTTTTATGTAAAAACCATGTGAGATGACATGAGAGACTAGACGTATATAATTAGAAATTTTAAATTTTTCTTTGGAAGATCTATAAAATGGTGGAAACCTTTTTACAAAACAGTTCTAATGTTAATTATTCTAACATCACTTAAGGTGAATGAAAGACTGGATTTGTTCTAATGGTGAAGGTGATGTATAGTTTTTAAGAGCAAATTTTTATTGAAGTTAATTAAGAAAATACCTTTTTATGTCCTCATTTAATCCAGTTTCTGAGAATAAAGATGCTTTTGTTTGCATAGCAACTAATAGGAGTTTAGAGTTACAAAACCGTTCATTCATTATTTTTAATATCTCACTTTTATAGAAAAAATGCCAATCTTAAAAGGTGAAGCCTCGCATTATAACTCCGATTTACATAACTTGCTGATCTGCTGCCAGTGTGTGGATGTGATATTTTACTCAGAAGATTTAAAGGAAGTAGTAGAAGCACACAAGATTGTTTTGTGCTCTGTAAGCCATGTCTTCATGTTACTTTTCAATGTGAAGAGTCCAGCTGATATTCAGGATTCCTCTATCATAAGGACTGCACAGACTCTCTTTGCAGTGAACAGTGAGGCTATGTTTCCAGTTTCTAACCGAGGTTCACCATGCGGCCCACCGGTTAGAGTCATTGTTAAAGACTCTTTCTTCTGTTTTTGTTTGTCAGACATTCTGCACTTCATTTATTCAGGTATCCTGTCAGAATGGTTCCAGCTGTTTACTATCTTTTTACAGAGCAAACATATTGCTTTGGAGTATATATTACCCTACCAAAATATATTCCTCTATTAGGATTAAATCAGTTTGATTAAAATAGTCCATCTGTATAGGCCATTATTTGGAATAGCTTCTACGTGGAAATGGAGCTTAACCTTACAATTTATTGCTTTTAGCACTATATATTCAATTCCAAAGTCATTGAATCTAGTAAACCAGAAGCTTCTAAAGTGGAAAAAAATTTCCTCCAAAATTCTATAAAGCTAATACATTTTCCATAAGTAACAGGTAAAGATGAATGTAACGCCAAACATCGCCTTGCCAAAAACAGCTTTTCAGTGAGATAATTTCAGAACAAAATAAAACTGTTAAAAAATGGTTAAAAACATTGTGTACAATAGTGTGTTAAAGAGAATGGGGAGCAACATTATCTGATTTGTGAGAGCAGAGGACTGGGAGTCATGTGATCTGTGTTCTGTTTTCATTTCTGCCATTGTTTCATTATGTAACCTTGGGCAAGTCACTTAATCTCCATTTCCCAATCTATTAAAATGGTGCTAATGATATTTTTCTGTCACTGTAAAACATTTTGTGAGACTCAGTTGAAAGACACAATAAGTGTGAAGTATTGTTAAAGAACACTAAATCATCTAGCAACTCTTTTTTGTTTGAATAGCCTATTACTTTGTACTGATATGACTTCTAATTGTATTACATATGACATCCCCACTAATGAAAACTATAAGAGATTTGTGGGAGGAAGTAGTAGTTCTCTAAATAATGCATCATTACATTCACTGTAATTAGAAATGTGTAACTATATAGTTAGAGATGTTATATGTAAGGGAGCTGAGTTTATCTCCAGAATGATGGTTGTCAAAAGTATTTAAAGGACTGTTCCCTTGGAATGGCAGTTCGTAGTCTTTGGAAAGGGCCAGGAATGTTTTACTTTAATTCCTCCAAGACTGATTCCAAGCTTATGCCTTCAGTAAACCTGTATGGAGCATTATCAGACTTCTTTGTAAAAATAATTTGGATGTAAATTTTTATCTGGTTGGCTGAAAGAGCTTTCAGCCAATGTACCATATTAGGTGTAAGCTGAATTTTTATTTTTAACCAAAGTCTCATGCCAACCTTTGGAGGAGTGGTCATCTTATATGAGGTTTACATTAGAGGAAATAGAGAGTTGAGCCTCCCTCCCCCAGTAATGACACTGCACCTCTGAGGAGCTCTGCATGCTTCTTGATTCTCATGGCTTATCGCTGCAGTGGGGTTGGATTTCCCTGGCAGGACTTAGTGCTGCTACTTGGCAGTTCACTACTGCCTTATATACTTGTGTATATTCCCACTATATGCTGGTCAATAATCTGAAACAAAATTTAAAGTAGAAATTAGGAGATGATCATCCTACGTGATTTTCTGTAGTAATTATCTCCCACTGAACACACATAGGTCTATAAAGCAACTTCACCAACTAGATCACTATGCTACATGCAGACTTATCAAATAATATTCATATAGGAAATGTCTAACTATTAATATCCTTTTAATGACTTTCTGAAATTCTTAACTTTCATCTCTGTCTCCTTATCTTTTTCTTTGCCTCACTCCATTTCCTTTCCTCTTCCACTGTTCCAGAACTTCAGAGGAGGAGGATGATACTGGAACTAATCCACTGAGTATAATGCTACCAGCTTAACTAGGGCTTCAGAAGGAAAACATCTGCTGGTCCCATGTATTTTAGCTGAGTGGCTGGAACAGTCCTTACTAGGAGAAGCAGCACTTGAGTGAACTGCTTCTCTGTGGATCTTTGCTCCTGTCTTTCTGTTCAACTAGTGGTGGCAGCTTCTCTGAAAAGGCTCATCTCTTCAGCATCTCTGGACTGATGGATGGGTTATTTTTTTGAAGCAGGCAGAGGATTGAGGAAATACAGATGAAGGAAGCGGGGGGGTTGTAAAGGTAGGGAGAAGTAGGGCAAGAAGAAAGAAAGGAAAAGAGATGGAGGGTAAGGAGAAAAGTGAATATAGGTAGGTAGTTTACAAAATTGCAAAAAGAAATGTATTTAAAATCTATGCCAAATGTTCTTAATACACTGTTTTGGAACCTTTTTCTATGTGTGTTTTTTTTTTTTTTAAATCAGTCTACATAGAATGAATAAGTAATTTTCCTTAATTTAAATATATACTGGTACTATTAAATCTTATTTGTTTTAATAAATATTATATTTAAATTGTTAAACTTCTTATAAATCATTTTATAAGCTTAGTAACATGCTCAAGGGCGTGTGCTTTACCCAGTATACAAACACTGAAGATGTGGGCGTATTGGCTGAATGCACACCTTGTTGTGTGCTATTGCTTCCTCATTCCGTAATGTTGTTCTGCATTAGATGCAGAGGACAAAACACTATATTGGGGAAGAAGATTCCTCACAGTTTGTCTCTCAAGCCCTTGATAATGCTGTAAATTCAGCCTCTTTTAAGGGTGACTGACTTGGAAATGGGGGGCTTTCAAAGACAGAAAGGAATTGAACAGCCAACTCCCCTTTTAGTACTTACCAAAGTGAAGAATTCATAATGTTGGTTTAAATACCATGGGCATGCACTGTGTGAGCCTCTGTCAACAATACCTCATTTGTGACTAATAATAATGTCCCTTTTATTCTAGCCCTAGGCTTTTCTTGATCAGTCTGCCAATCCTTTCATACTGTGTGGTGTTTTTCTGATGTGCACCAATAGTGACTGATTAGTTTAATTTCTGTCATAAATCAGGGTTCAAATTTAGATCTTCAGAGAAGAAAGACTAGTGCAGTAATCCTTGGTGCTTTGGCTTGCAAATACAGTTTACTGGCCGATGCTGGTGTTCTGTCTTAATTTTATCTTCATGTATATTAGCCAGAACACACAAGCAATTTATACTTTTATGGATCAAATTCTTCCCTAAGTTATCGCTTGTGATCTCATTGAGATCGCAAATGGTGTAAGTCAGCGCAGAATTTGGCACATATCAAACTTGGGTCTTCCCATTTAGAGGATTTTTAAGGAAAATATTGAGTCAGGAAGAATAGAAGTCTAGTTTTTGAGATACAGTGTAGATGCTTTCTGCCCCACTATCAATGGATTCTGTTCATAAAGTTGAAATAGCCTTTCCCTCTCTCTGGCGGATGGGGGTGAGATCAGGGTATTTTATACTGCATCAATCCCTAGCTGCTGTTTTAACCCCTTGGGTTTGACTACAGTGGGTGAATGTTAAAGCACATTGAGGTCTGCTCTAACTTATGCCTGGGGACTGGCCTGCATAATGTGGGCCCCAGCATCACAAGGATGTGAATATGAGCCTTATGCCACCTTTTCATCTCCCTTACCCCTTCAGACTTCGTACCTTTCATCTATAGTTGAGTCCCCTAACCCGAATGGTCATTAAGGCCTGGTCTACACTAGGCTTTTATGTCGAATTTAGCGCCGTTATATCGAATTAACCCTGCACCCGTCCACACCAGGAAGCCATTTAGTTCGACATAGAGCTCTCTTTAAATCGATTTCTGTAATCCTCCCCAACGAGAGGAGTAGCGCTAAATTCGACATGGCCATGTCGAATTAGGCTAGGTGTGGATGGAAATCGACGCTAATAGCTCCGGGAGCTATCCCACAGTGCACCACTCTGTTGACGCTCTGGACAGCAGTCCGAGCTCGGATGCTCTGACCAGCCACTCCCCCGGGAAAATTTGAATTCCTTTTCCTGTCTGGGCAGTTTGAAGCGCAGTTTCTGTTTGGACACCGTGGTGAGCTCAGCAGCAGTGGCAACGATGCAGAGCTCTCCAGCAGAGATGGCCGTGCAATCCAATAGAAAGAGGGCCCCAGCATGGACGGATCGGGAAGTCTTGGATCTCATCGCAGTGTGGGGCGATGAGTCCGTGCTTTCAGAGCTGCGCTCCAAAAGACGGAATGCAAAGATCTATGAGAAGATCTCTAAAGCCATGGCAGAGAGAGGCTACAGCCGGGATGCAACGCAGTGCCGCGTGAAAATCAAGGAGCTGAGACAAGGCTACCAGAAGACCAAAGAGGCAAACGGACGCTCTGGATCCCAGCCCCACACATCCCGTTTCTACGAGGCACTGCATTCCATCCTAGGTGCGGCCGCCACCACTACCCCACCAGTGACCGTGGACTCTGAGGATGGGATATTGTCCGCGACCGGTTCCTCAGCGGACGGGGAAGAGGAGGAAGGAGATGAGGAGGACGAGGCAGTAGACAGCGCTTACAACGCTGATTTGCCCGACAGCCAGGAGCTCTTCATCACCCTGACAGAGATCCCCTACCAACCCTCCCCAGCCGTTACCCCAGACACAGATTCAGGGGAAGGATCAAGCTGTAAGTGTTTTAAATATCTAAATATTTATTTACAACATAACTGGCGTATTTAAAATATTAACATTAGCTAAAGTGCTTTAAAACATGTAAACATTTATTTGCAACAAAACAGGAAGATTGAAAATATGAACAGTGGGTAAAGTGCTTCAAAACATGTAAACAGGAAAGTCAAACAAAAGGGGAATCAGTGCAAAGTGTATCATGATTTGTCTTTTTTTGGGCGCCTCAATATATAGTCCGAACCATTTTCAAAAAATTGCACAATGTCCGCTTCATGATTATAGTGCCCAAAACCCTGCAGTCATTTGTCCCTCCAAGGGCACCTAAGCCAGGAACTGGTCAATGTAACCGGGGATAGAGGCGAGATCCTCCGGGGAGAACTCCTCATACACCTCCTGCAGGTGTTTTTCCAGCCTCATCAGCAGGTTCCTGGGCAGGGAGAGCTTATTAGGCCCCCCGTGGTAGGACACGTTTCCCTGCCACAACGCCAGCAGGTACTCCGGGATCATGGCCTTGCACAGCAGTGCAGCAAATGGCCCCGGTTTCTGCAGGCTGTCCCGTAGCATCTTCTCCTTCTGGCTCTCGGAGACCTTCAGGAGGGTGAT